GGGCCCCCCACTGCGCAGGATAAGGAGGTGCTACAGAGAGAGCCTAAAGGGGCCCCCCCACTGCACAGGATAAGGAGGTGCTACAGAGAGAGCCTAAAGGGGCCCCCCACGTAGCAGCACTAAGTTGGGGCGTTCAGATCACATCCCATCTCAAGGTGTAGGGTAAATGAGGGATGTCCCTGTCACAGAAGGGACAGGTACCAGGACAGCAAGTCTCTTGCCCATAGAGAAGGTGAGAGGGTGCAGAGGGGACCCAGACTTTCTGGATCCAAGGCCAAGGTGGTTTTCTTCCATGGAATTTCAGACACCAAAGTAGAGCCAAGCAGGTGTGTCAGTAACATTGAGAGCATAGCAGACAGGACGTTGCTGTCACATCCCACCTATCGGCGAGGCCCATCGCTCACACACGCATCCACTCCCCACCTTCCAGACCGTGCACCCTGCATCTCTCCACCCTGCCACTCCTCTGCTCAGCCATTCACAAACCCGTCCACACACCCACCTGTCCACCCCCACCCAGCCCACCCACAGGTGCTGACACCAAGCAGTTGAGGACACACAGATTTCCCTCTTAAACTCAGTGGGGAACTCACTCTGGCCCATGCTGGTGTTGTCATGCCAACAGTACAGCAAACACTGACCCAAGGGAAGGAGGAAGCCCAGGTGTTCCAAGCAGAGAGCATGGCCCAAATGAAAGCCTGGGCCAGGCTGTGTCCCCAGTGGAGGAGAGCAGGAGGCAGGTGGGGGAATCGGGGGCATCAGTCTGGCTCTACTCTAAGTTTGGTAGAGCCTGGAGAACCTCAGGAGCCACAAGGTGTTTGCGGTAAGATGGCTGTTGCCAAGAAAGGCTCCATAGACTCCTACTGTATAGACAGCAGAACCACCTGACTGGTCCCAGGGAGCAGGCCCTGTCACCTTGGTGTCTCTGTGGTCTGCTGCACCGTCCTGTGCAGGACTTTCCCCGAACACAATCTCACCCATTCTCATAGTTCAGCCGGACAGAGAGCCACCTGGGGAGCTGAGGGGAACTCGGGCTACATGACGCTGGCTCATGACCCAGGTGGCAAACACAGGTTCAGCTCTGGGGTCCAATGAGGGACAAGCAAGACACATCCCAGATGGAAGGCAACAGCACTCAGCCCTGCGCCGCCCCGGAGGCCCCAGACCGGGCTGAGTCACAGACCTCAGTGTTTCAGTGTTGAGGCACTTGGGTTTAGCCTGGAGCCCAGCCCAGGACCAGCCCACCTGCCCATCAAGATCTGGAGCTGAGGCGTCCTAGACAGAGCTCACTGCCACAGGTACCGGTCAGTCATTTGTTTCCATACCTGTTTATTGTGTGTGTGTGTATCTGTCTGTCTGTCTGTCTGTGTGCGTATGGCCTGCGTTGCCAAACACAACCGTGGAGGTGGGAGAATTTGCAGAAATCAGTTCTGTCCCTTCCACCATGTGAGTTCTGGGGATTGAACTCGGGTCTTCACGTTGGGCAGTGAGTGCCACTTCCCGCCGAACCCTCTCGCTGGCCTATGAGATGCTCCATCCTCACGCTACAGCTTCTTGTTCTTGCTTAGTCGGTTGTGACGCCAGATGTTCTGTTTGCGCAACAGTCGCCAGTACTCACGGGACTCTGGTTCCAGCTCCTCCAGCTTTTTCGGGGGACCCAAGTTCATCTGGAATAGCCTGTGGGGGGGTAGTGTCAAAACTGCATGGCCACCTCACAGCTCTGGGGTGTAGGCAGTGTTGAGCTGGGGCTTTGGCTCTTGCCCTGGTCCCCACCTCTGTTCCAGCCACAGGCTCCTGCTACTGCCCCAGAGCAGGCCGTGTCCTGCCCCAGGATCTCTGCACAGACACCTTCCAGCCACTTGATCCTGGCTCCGTGTGGAAACTTAAAACGTGGCTGACAGCTCAGGTTGCACCCGCTGTCCCTGTCTCTCCCAGTGTCCTGGGAGTGTGGCCCCACTACACGGCCTTGTGCACCTAACTATCTGGTCCCCAGCTCACTCCAGGAAATACCAGAGTCTGGATAGCCAGGAAGAGACACGGCCTTAAATCTCTGTCAAGAAAAACAAAGTCCCCCACCCTGCCCCCTCTGCCCTCAGGGACACACGGCCCTGTGTACCAGCTCCCCATTTGCAAGCAGGAGTACCAGGGCTTGGCGTCCAGGGTGGGTGAGACCAGTAGACCCCGGGGTGCCCCTGCAGGCCAGGTGGCCATCCACACTCACCACTCGGGGTACTCAGAGTCTGGCTTCAGGGCCACATCCTGGCCTTCCTTGTAGATGTTCACCCCCATGGCATGTGTGGTCAGCCGGGCGGGGTCTGTGCACACATCAGGGTCCTTCAGGGCCTCAGTGGCCACGCTGCCCTTGGCACCTTTGCTGCCCTTCATGACTGCAGAGCAAGAGCTCAGGTCACTGTAGCCCAGCCCTGCCCCTGTGCCTCCCTCTGTGTTTGGCAACCCCGGACACCCCAGGTATAACAGGGTCCCCTGTCCCCTGACCCGAGACTGTGTGGCCTGATCACTCAGCCCCTCTTCCTTTCAGTGATGGGGGCAGGATGATACTACCTCATACCCAGAGGTCTCAGCTGAGGCTGGGGGATCATAAGACCCTGTCTCAGAAAAAATAAAAAACTAAGGCTAGAGAGATGGCTCAGCGGCTCTAGGCCAGCATGGCGTATATGACAACCTGTGCCCAAAACAAACAAACAAAACTTATTTATTTTTCGAGACAAGATATCATCATGCAGCTCTCCTGGAACATCAAAAAAGTTTTTGTTGTTGTTGTTGTTTGTTTGTTTTTGAAGACAGGGTTTCTCTGTGTAGCCGACTGTTCTGGAACTCACTCTGTAGATCCGGTTGGCCTCAAACTCACAGAGATCTGCCTGCCTCTATCCCCTGAGTTCTGGCAATAAAGGTGTGCGCCGTCACTGCCCATCAGAAAAATAAAACGTTTAAAAATATATTTTATTGAGATGTGGTCTTCCTGGCATGCCTGTAACTCACAGAAATCCCTCTGCCTCTCCGTCCTGAGTGAGGGAATTAAAGGTATTGGCCATCATATTCAGCCTCAAAACGTAATCTTTAAGAATTATTATCACGTTGGGGGGCACAGTAGCGCATTTGTGCAGTCGGCCATCTCCTTCCACGTTTACCTGGATTCTAGGGTTCGAACTCAGGCTGTGGGCTTTCCCGGAAGGCGCTTTACACACAATTGAGATCTAGTGCCCCTTCTGGTGTGTAGATGTGCAGGAAGAACGGTGTAAACATAATAAATAAATCTTTAAAAATAGCAATAACTCAATTTCCGCGGGTGGGTATGGTATTCCAGGCGCCCTGCCCTGCGCAGGAGCAGTTCCCGGAGCCCCGCCTCCCACAGCAGCGCGCCTGCGCACTACGGACTCTCCTGGCCTACCACCGTGCCCACATTGATTTCTCCGGAGGCGCCTCACCTGGCTTCTTGGCGTAGTCCCGGACGGAGAGTGTTCCGGGTCCTCCGGGAACCGGGAGAGCCCGGAGCCGACAGCCGGCCCACATCCGGGAAGCCCCGAGGAGACAGGTGGCCGCCATAATGCTCGCCGGCTCGCACGTGCATGCTTCCGGCTACGTCGCGCTCCGGAGCCGCTTTAGGGCGTCGGCGGCGCCCGCGGCCTTCTGGGAAATGTAGTCGTATCATTGGGCAGCTCGTGACTAATTTGAACTCATGTAGTTATCACCCGTTTAAAAAATATTTCAAGGGGCTGGAGAGATGGCTTAGTGGTTAAGAGCACTGACTGCTCTTCAAGAGTCCCTGAGTTCAATTCCCAGCAACCACATGGTGGCTCACAGCCATCTATAATGTAGACTTTGCGCCCCCTTCTGGCATGCGGGCACACATGGAAGGAATGATGTACACATAATAAATAAATCTTAAAAAAATATTTCAAGGACTGGAGAGATGGCTCAGAGGTTAAGAGCATTGCCTGTTCTTCCAAGGGTCCTGAGTTCAATTCCCGGCAACCACAGGGTGGCTCACAACCATCTGTAATGAGGTCTGGTGCCCTCTTCTGGCCTTCAGGCACACACAGAATATTGTATACATAATAAATAAATATTTAAAAAAGAATATTTCAAGAAATTCTTGTCTTTAGTCACATTAAGTTCGTGCTTGTATTCCATGTGGGATTTTTGAAAGTTTAAGAACAGCCAAGCCGGGTAGTGGTGATGCACTCTAATCCCAGCACTCAGGAGGCAGAGGCAGGCAGATCTCTGTGAGTTCGAGGCCAGCCTGGGCCACAGAGTGAGTTCCAGGACAGCCAGGGCTGTTACACGGAAAAACCCTGTCTCAAAAAATAAAAACAAACAAAACAACAAAAACCCAAGAGACAAGCCACCGCCCCCCTGCCTCAGCTGAAGCAGGCAGATCTTCCTTACTGTTTGGAGCCTGGGTCTCTTCCTTTTCTTTCTCCCTCTCGAAGAGGCAGCTTTTGTCTCTCCCTTCTCTCTCTCTCTCTCTCTCTCTCTCTCTCTCTCTCTGCCTCTCTCTCTGCCTCTCTGCTCTCCTCCTTTTCTTCATAGTCCACTAAATAAATATCCAACCTCACTCTGCATGGCATGTCTATCCATGACTCTTTGTCTCTCGCCCGCCGCTTTATGTCTCCCTGCCTGGGACCAGCCGCCTGTGGAGACCTGCAGCGTGGTCTCATGGCCAGCTGCCTGCTGCAGCCACTCGGGAACCTGCAGCATTTTTATTTAATCCATTGCAGATGGAGGCAGGAGAATCAGGATCAGGGTAGCTCTCTGCTCCGCATCAAGTTTGAGGTCAGCCTGGGCTACTTGGCACCTTGGCTTAAACATAAGGGTGGCCGAGTGTGGTGCGTTCCACCTTAATTCCAGTGTGTGAGAGGTAGTGGAGGTGGTGTAGGACCCAGCCGTGACAAACTCAATAGAGGCCTGAGTCTCAGTAGTTTACCCTGGTTCTGATAAAGGCCACAAACTGAGACCACCCAGGCACCACTCAGGAACAGACCACTCAGAACGTTGGAATTCCCGACGTTCCAACCGCCAGCACACACCCATTGCTTTTCCCCAGGACACCCCTAGACAAATGCCATCTAGTCAGAGGCTCTGAACCTCAGAAACCCCTCACCCCCACTCTTACTACTATAAAAACCCAACTCTAACTCAGCTCGGGGCTCTCTGATCACTCCAATACGCTGGACACAACGGAGACACCGAGTTTGCAAACTTGTGTAAGAATAAAGGTTGTTTGCTTTTACACACAGGACACTGTCTTCTAGTTGGTTTTGGGGGCCCTCCATGATCTGGGCATAACAGGTGGATCTCTGTGATTTCTAGACAAGCCTGGTGTACATAGTGAATTCTAGACCAGCCTGGGCTGTATAATCAGGCCTGTAATAAAGAAAAAAGTGGAGGTAGTGACCAGGGCTCGGTAGAAGTCCTTTGTTCCAGGCTGACGGTACTTGGGAGGCTGAGGCAGGAGGATCAGGAGTTCGAGGTCAGGCTAGACTACATGAGACTAGGTCTCAGGAAGAAATAGACTCATTACTACACCCTAACCCGCTGTCCTCTTACAAGCAAGCTTAGGGACTGTTATTGTGGACCGTGGTGTGAGCTCTAGTGTGTCACTCCAAACCCAACTCCCGACCACAATTGTCTTTTCTCCCCAGATCTTCGTGCTCCCTTTTATAGTTCCCTGCCGTGTCTATTCCCTTGTCCCACCTCGGTTGTTTGCGTCTGGAAGTGATGCGGAACCTCATTTTAGAGAAAAAGCCAGTTTGCCTGCTATTCTATTATTTACGCTAAAACCCCACTGTGCCCCTGTCTGCCTAGGTCGCCTGTGAGGACTACATTTCCCAGCAGGCAGCGTGAGGCTGCGCGTGCGCAATATTCCTGGGAGGAGCAAAGCTTGATGATCCGGATCCAAAGCTGGGATCCCAGAGCACTGCTGAGTCTCCAACAAGGACGAGCGGACCTGGTCATCCCGGCCCGGGCCGGAGGCACAGGTACTACGCCCGCGCGGGACCAGACGGGGCGACCCGAGGCCAGTGTTTGAGATTTAGGACCGGAGCCTTAGTTCTGAGGGTCAGTGTCTGAGTTCTGGGAGCCGGAGCCTGAGTTCTGAGGGTCAGTGCCTGAGTTCTGGGGGCCGCAGCCTGAGTTCTGGGAACCAGTCCTTGAGTTCTGGGGGCCGCAGCCTGAGTTCTGGGGACCGGAGCCTAAGTTCTGAGGGTCAGTGCCAGAGTTCTGGGGACCGGAGCCTGAGTTCTGAGGGTCAGTGCCTGAGTTCTGGGGACCTGAGCCTGAGTTCTGAGGGTCAGTGCCTGAATTCTGTGGGCTGCAGCCTGAGTTCTGGGAACCGAAGCCTGAGTTCTGAGGGTCAGTGCCTGAGTTCTGAGGGTCAGTGCCTGAGTTCTGGGGGCCGGAACCTGAGTTCTGAGGGTCAGAACCTGAGTTCTGGGGGTCAGTGCCTGAGTTCTGGGGGCTGGAGCCTGAGTTCTGAGGGTC